ATAAGGGGTATAAGGGGTATAAGGGGTATAAGGGGTATAAGGGGTATAAGGGTATAAGGGGTATAAGGGTTTAAGGATATAAGGGGTATAAGGGGTGTAAGGGTAGAATAGGTATAAGGGGTATACAGGGTATAAGGGTATAAGGGTAAGGTAAGGTAAAGGTAAAGGTAAAGGACTTAACAATATTTTAAATAATAATATTATATTAAGGGTATAAGGGGTATAAGGGTTTAAGGGGTTTAAGGGTAAATGGGTTTAAGGGTATAAGGGGTGTAAGGGGTATAAGGGTTTAAAGATATAAGGGGTATAAGGGATATAAGGGTAAAGTGGTATAAGGGTATAAGGGTATAAGGGTATATGGGTATTTCGTGTGCAGTAAGGATGTGCAATGCAACTAATGAAACACAACTCTTCAAAATTTATGCTCCACCATAACTATTAGTCTCATTTATTATATTACTATGAATTTCTATGCACCATTTGCAATTTTTATGTGAATACTTAAAAAGATCGCTATCTATCTAATCCCGCAAAACAGGATCTCATCGAATTTCAAGACCATGTGAATTGTTCATTTCAGTGCCAGGTACCATTAGCGAGCGAAGAATAGTTATTTTTCCAGGACAAGGAAGGAAGCCTATATTTATTTGTTCATTATTTCTGCCTCTCAGTCTCTTCCAACGTTGTGCGTCGTCTGTGGTCGGTCTATTCTGTAAACCTTCTCTGCGAGGCTAAAGAAACCAGTGTACTGCACGTCAACAGGCGTGACGTCATAATGATAGTGTCCACCCTCTCCGTGATCACTGAAGCAGTGAAAGTGTTCAATGCGCAAGTCCAAACCCTGAAGGAGAAAAAGAGAGTTGATCATTAAGTCCACTGTTCGCATTGCTGTTGGTACATATTTTCCTGGATGCTGTGAAAACCTGATCAATGAAGGCAGTATTTAAAACATGAAATACTTACGGGATCGTGGCTTTCGAAGACTCCAACACATACTAATGGTGCGCTCATATTGTAGAACTTGAGCCAGTTGTTGACATCGGTGTCCGTCTTGAGTGGAGTTTCGGAAAATTTGGGCTGTTAATACAAAAGAAACTTTCAACACAAACAGGCCTGTTCCTTACTTATTATGGGGGCTTGAAATCCCGAACCCTCTTCCACCTTTTTAAGGTGCTGTCAATAGGGAGCTGAGGCAACGACGACGCCGACGGCGAGGACGACGCCTAGTTAAAAATGAATTTACATTTTACCAGCGAAATTTGCAATTGTCCAGATCTGTTCAGTACGCCAATGGCTTTAAAAACGTGTTCAGGCTAAATATGTAATGCCAGCGTTTAATTCCAAATGGAAATACGAAAAAGTTAGCCGTCGTCATTCGCATTCCTCAGACTACGCAGAACTTGATCATTTCACGTATTTGTTTTGCAGAGGACGGCAAAGAAATGTACAAAGATTTATAACGCACGTGCACAGCTATCGTTTCGCTCATTAGATCTTGTTTGGTGACGTTCTCGTTGCCGTCGTGGTCGTGGTTTGCTTAAGTTCCCTAATACCAGCAGACCGCATACTCCTTAAAATTTGGCAAAACACCTGCAGAAAATACGCGCTCTGATAAGCGTAGTTTAATTTAATCCCACAGGAGTCCCCTAAGATTTTTCATAAAACCTCATCAAATAACTAGTTCACGACAAGAAGCTGCAATTTGCACAATTATAAATAGTTACCATGATGTGAATCTTGGCCTTGCCCTTCTCTATCACAAAAACTCCACCCACTCCAACTGGCCTGTTTCCATAGTGACCAGCTAGCGTGTGTCGCATGCACGTGATAAAATTCTCGTCCCCAGTCCTCTTGCTGGCGCAAACCTTCAGAACCTGATGAACAATGCAGCAACATTTAACTCAACCACTTAGAACTCAAAGAATTGTGAATCTCTACAAGATCGTTTCCAGTTCCATCAAGGCTAGTCAAATAAACCAAGCAGTTATAGCACTTGAATATGAATATTATTTAACAAAGCAGGTTAAGAGATGGCAGCAAAGGCTGATGTGGACCTGCTATGCGCAAATAAATGTTTACAAAATACACTAACTAGGTAATTACAANAAACTGTATAACTGCAAATTGTAGTAACAAAAATGTCATTGACCATATCATTCTTAGAGTTGATTAAATACAAAAGCGTTTACATCTTAAATACATGCAAGCATTGATTTTCCTTGGTAAGTTACACATATAACAGAAAGCCAAGTCCAAAACAGTGCGAGAATAATGAACAAGTTGTCATCAAGTAGTTGACTTCTCAACATTTGCTTCCATAATCTGTATCATTCAGAGCATTTTAAAATTTGTCAGGTGTTAGCTTCCTGCACAGACTGACAATCTTTTGACTTCTCATACACTTCTCCCTGCTGGGGAGAAGAAAGAAATTGCTAAAATGATGTGTCAACTTAACAGTGTACAGTCATGTACCTTGGAAAGATTAGGAAGAGGTATGAGATATGGTGGACCACCAACATCAGCAATTCTGGTTCTCCCACAAATACCTTTATACAGGTTGAATGAGAATGCAGAAAAAAATCAGTTTAAAAATGCTGTTAAATTGACATTATTTGTTAAATAACTTTATTTTGAAAAAAGTAAATAAATATGATCAATTCAGGAGGCAATGTACATATACATACCAGGAGCAGCTAGTTTCCATGGCTTCTCTCTCAAATCAGGACAATCCACCACTTCAACCTCAACATTTGAAAAGTTCTTGGCTAAGCCAGCCTTAAGCACTAAAATTATCGTAGAAATAAATTAATGCAAGCCATTGACAGCATTACCACTGTTGTGGCTGAATGGTGTTTGAGTGGTTTATCAAGTTATGTTAATGTATGCTTAAGAAGGATGTTCTTGCACAAACTGACAGTCAACCACAGCCGACTGATATATAGCAGCAGTTGACTGATATACCACTGATAATATTGCAGTTGATAGTCAATCGACAACATGAGGACCATTAAATGGGCTGTCAATCAATATATCAGTAGAGTATCGGTCGTGTATCAGTCAATGCATTGACTGAGTATTGACTGGGTATTGGTCAAGTATCAGTCAAGTATTGCCCAATATGTATCGACTGATGTCCCAATCGAGGTTTCCCATAAGATCATACATGATCCAAGAACTTTGCTCTACTTTAGCCTCAGGGTAGAAGGATAGTCTGTAGAACTGTACAAGTTGACAGTCCTTGAACATGCTACTTTAGAGTTTTGAGGTAAGGTTTATTAATAATGGTAATAGGACTGGGTGGAGTCAAATTCAGTCTGTAATCATACAAGTGATTAACAAAATCGGACGACCGCGAAGTGGGAGTCTGATTTGTTAATCCCAAGTATGATTACAGACTGAATTGGACGACACGATGTCCTGTTACCAATTAATCAAAACTATAACAAAATTCGAGAAATGAACAAACCATTGATTGATTACTGAACGATTTTAAAATGTCGTTATGAATGTTGAAAAACACAGCAGTTTACTCAACAAAGTGCACCGCAACAACGCACGCAAAATGACGCATACTGTCCAATTACAAGCATGACGCATACACTGTCCAATTAATGCCTAAATCAGGCTGCTGATAACCAATCACGTTTGTGAATTTTGTTATAGTTTGATTGACAATGGTAATAGGACTGAGTGGAGTCCAATTCGGTCTGTAATCATATGGGTGATTAACAAAATTGGACGACCGCAAAGCGGGAGTCCGATTTGTTAATCATGAGTGTGATAACAGACTGAATTGGACAACATGATGTCCTCCTACCAATTAATCATAACCATTATAATTTCCCACAAAAGTAAAAGTTTCATTTGAAAAAGAGCTTTTAAAAGTCATTTTTAAATATCATAATTAAAAATATGGAGAATAGCTTGCAAAATGGCGGTTAAGTTTCTTTCAAAACAGTCACCAGAGACTAAACCTCCAAAG